CAGATGTAAATTGCAATAGTAGAGACTATATATAGCTCAGGGTTGATTTGATGGGTTCTTGATGTTCTCCAGCCTTAGTTTTCATCTTTTTTCCCCTAAATGAGTTTTTTTTTAAATCGGTCTGTTGAAATAATTTCTGATTTCATTCTGAAATGAACCCTATTAACAAATCTTTTAGAAAGAACAACCAAAAGTCAAAAAGAAAGTGACAAACCGGCCTAACCATATCCTCTCTTGTCACACACCTATTAACGAATAGTCAAGTAAGCAGGAACCAGCATCTAATATTTGCTGTGAGCAATAAAAAAAAAATAGCATGCTAATTAAAGAAGAAACATTTCCTCCAATCAATACATAGTACTCAAACCAACACAAGCTCCTCTGTATAAAAGAACCAACAAAGCTCATTTCTTCACATTAGAGTATTGATGATATTACCCAGACTGGTAAGAAAATGTTTGCCAGAAGAAAATCAAGCTTGGAGAATATTGGAAACACAACAGGCATAACTTAACTGAATTGTGTTAGATGTTTTCAGGTTGAAATCTATAGTTCAGAATTGCAGGGAAGAAAATTCCCTCTTCCTGAGTGCATTTATTACCGATATTCAAAGACTCTTTGTAGAAGTTCTTATAATTTACTGAAATCTGCTTTATGATGCTTTTGTAAAAGAGGTTTCCTTTTTTTCTCTTTTCTCAGAATTATTGAGTATTTCATTCAAATTTCTGCTTGTGATATTTTTGATCTTATTTTATTGTTGCAGGCTGTAGATATTGCTACTGTTAGGCATCCAGTGGTTGTCACAATGATGACAATGGTTGTTATGCAAATGATGAAGATTATGTGATTTGCATCATTTGTGATGTTGGCATGTCATGACTTTTTCCTCAAACCCACCCACCCCCTTACTACTCATAGTGTTGTTTTTGGTTGCACATTTTATGTCATTTTGAATCCTTTGTGGTTAGCCATATTTTCCACAATCAACAAAGGCTAGGGCTAGGTTTTAAGAAAAACGTGGGATGACAGAGAAACCATAGATTGACAAAAATAACATTTATGCACATCCCTGAAATATTTAATAAGTAATACATACAAAAGTGCTTAATCCACCCATGCAAATTTCACTTGCATTTTCTTTATCTTTGAAAGCAGTTTTAAACACAAATTCTATTTCCCCAATTTGACTGAGATCTGGATGGGGAAAAAGTGCAGACTTTTTCCTTGTTTTAATGGACATGCATAATTTAGGCCCTGTGATCTGTGTTTCTCTTCTCTACCTGCTACCACTATTATTTACTACTAGCTGATAACCCGGCGTTGCCCGGGTATTTATTTATCCCAATCTTGTATTAGACAGGAAGAGCAACTTCACCCTGAGCCCTGATTTTGGCAAGAATTAAATTAGTTAAAAATGTTTTTTCCTGTGCCAATGGTGAAATCCTCCGTGGTTTACCACCGGTTCACTGCCTGCGCATGAGTGATGTGTGCCAAATGCACGCTGCACATGCGCATGTACAGTGCACACCAAATGCACACCCCACGCACATACACAGTGCACACCAAATGCGCACTTCATATGGTAAAGGAGGCTTAAGAAGGTAAATATAATAGCATGGAGGGGAACAGCTGGGTCACGCAATTTAGATTCACTAGAAAGCAGGAATATAAATTGCGCAGCACAGTGAATATAAATTGCGCGGCACAGCTAATTGTTGGAAATACCAATTCGGAGTTGCAGTAATGTTTTATTGATCATGGCCATACATTTATACTCAAGAATAATCAAAGCCTTGTTGAAAATGGACCAAACGTAATTTCTAATGTTGGATTTTCCCACTTACCAGAGGGAGCCCCCTTGTGGAATACTGTGAAGCTGTTACCATGGCAACTCCACTGTGCTGTACAGTAGAAGCTATTTTAAGGCAGTACAGTAGAATCCATTTTAAGGCACAACAGGCTGTATCTTAACAGAACACACACTCCGAAGGGTGTTAGGGGTGTCTTACCCCCTCAGTATTTTTTCCCAGAGAGTAACTCATCTGTGTACCAAGTTTGGTTGAAATTGCTCAAGGTATTCCAGAGTTATGCTGGAACACACACACACACACAAACACACACACACACACACACACACACACAGCCATTTTTATATAGAGAGATTATTGCCTATGATTGTATTGTAATGCTTCAGTTTCAAGTTCCATGTATTCTATTAACAGAAGACTGGTATCAAATATTTAATGGGTGGTCACAAAGCAGAAAGGGCCAACCTATTCTCCAAAGCAGCTGAAGACAAGACAAGAAGTAACGGATGGAAATTTATCAAGGAGAGATTCAGTCTAGAACCGAGAAAAAATTCCTAACTCAGAAAAAATTCCTAACTCAGAACAACAGGGGAGCAGAAGTTGTGGATGCTCCATCAATGGAGGGTTTTAAGAAGAGATTGGACTACTATTTGTCTGGAATGCCATAAGGTCTCTTGCTTAAGTAGGGAGTT